GTGTCTATACCAGAAGTAGCCACATTCACTTACTTACTACTTATTTTTAACTTATACTACTTATAGTACTTTGGCTGACTTTCTTACTTTTTCTGGCTTTCTTTACTCTAACCAACCTGTTGTTAGCTACTCCAAAAATCCTCAAGACTGCTCTATCTGTAATGGTGAGCACCCTTAGGGTAAATTGTTGGAGTTTTAATTATACTGCCATTTACACCGAATTTATTTAGTTGAGGATTTGCAGTGGCGAGTGGAGCTCACAAGTCGCTACCTCGAGATAATTTACAGTTATAATAAAGAAACAGATTCCAAGACTAACATTGAATAAAATATAACAACATTTATTAATTTTTTCCACATTACATACAATATTAGTCAAAAGCTTATAAATCATTAACTTCTCATAACTTTTGCTTTTACTTCTAATCTGTATTAGAAACTGGTGCATATAAAGTACATTCCTTTAATACAAACATAAATATCATTTACTATTAACTACATTAATTGATCAAGAGAGATAATAATTCTATACTTACAACAGAGCTGCACCAGTATACTTCTGGAGTGTTGAGACTTTCATATTCATGGAAATTGAAAACTGGAAAACACTGATTCTTTCTGAAGATAACTCTAAGTAGCTCAAGAAAAACTGATTTTTCGACTCTAGACATGAGATTTTAACCCATATTTCCTCTGTATTCTGTTGACCTTCCAGATAGTATTCCTAACTACCCACAAATAGTTTTAACACTTTATTGGTCGATTTGTGCAACTTCCTGAGCTAGTCCAAAACCATTACCAAAACTCTCAAGTGATTGGTTACTGTTATGGTGAGTTAGCCAGTTGTCATTTCACTTGTGATAGTACACCAGCATTGTGTAAGGAATATATCATCAAAGTATTGCTTTTGAATGGTAACATCAACTTTTTCGTAGCTTTCACAGTACTAACGAGTTGGTGTCAGTAATTAATCACTGTCCATCACTGGTGCTAGTGCATCTACTTCATTGCTAGGTAATAGCTTCATTTTTTATAACTCTTAATTGTTGATTATCAATCTTACTGACCCTATATTGTACCAGTTGTAAGAGAGAACTGGTTGTTTGCCCTGATGACCCATTTTGTGATAAACTTTGAGACTGTCAGCAGTCTTGAGGCTCAAAATCTTGGAAACATTGATTGGAGTTGTAGTCCTAGATGAACACGTCAGCTTCAACTTCTCATCAGCTGGATACATCAGAATAATGAAGCAATTTGGTTGTAATAGCTTATTTATCTATAGTAAGCATTTGTTTTTCGAAATGGTAAGAACATTACTTATCAAGAAACAACACTGCAGTCAACAAGAAACAAGCACTAGATAGAGATTTGTGAAAATATTTACAGAAAGATAAGAATAGTGATGATTAAACATAACTATTTACGAATATCCTTTAAACTTTAACACAGTAAATCAACTAACAAAACTAAACACGATACTTAAATAAGCATGCTTTTCAAGGCTATAGATGTTATACAATATGCTAGTTATAGAAATGAATCAGTAATGTTTTACATATAAATCCACAGGAAAAAGCAATAGTATGTTATGCACATACAATATAGAAGAAAACTATAATCAGTATGTTAAATGTGTACTAAATTGAGTTAATATCCCAGGCACCTGTACTAACTATCTTGTTCAATATGTATAAAAACGAAACAGTATGTGTGATTACACTTGTCAGCAGTATGTTAATTGTGTTAGTAACACTATCCGCCTATAGAAACACGTGTAATACAGTTAGATATATTAATGAAAACTATAAACATAAGTTGAGACAAGTTGAAATCTGTATGCAGTATAGTGACACTGTCTGCCTATAGAACCTGGGTAAAAGCATCTCTCTGGTATCGAACTGTGATTTCACCCCTCCCCTAAGACAGTTGCATCATCTGGTTTAACTTCATGGAACTATGATGTCATCCCATCCTAAGATATCAGCAGCCTCTAGTGTTACTTCGTGAACATCATCAACTTGTGTTGCACATTATGTAATGGTTATGATATAACCACCAAGCCATGTCAGGTCTACCAAAGAATTAGATAGAGAAAACGATATTGATCAAGAATTTTTTGGTTGGATGAAGAACTACCAGAAAAATTAGTCACTACAACAATATCTTGCAGGAATACATAATTACAACAGAACTTTAACAATCTCTAATATACACTTTAACAAACACTGAACAATGCTAACTGTGGTTTTTATTACAAAAAAACAGAACTTTATGCTCATGTTTTAACTACACTTGAAAGTTTAATTTGAAACAATGATCATAAAAAATTCCATTTACAAACATCTTTCTGTTAGTTGCGAATTTTTCTTTTCATTTCCAGAACTTGAACTTTAAATGAAAAGGAAAAAGTATTACCGAACTGCGTAGATGCCTTTGATTCGCTATTTCCTCTGCAGTAGGTTATTAGTAGTGAATAAAGTACATTGTCTCAAAATCTACAAAAATATTTATATTACATGTAACAGAACGATATCAATAATGATATTAACAGTAACCTTTTCACAATAAGAATAGTAATTCCAAAAATACAGCATCAAACAAATCTGGCTCTAACTCAACGATATTTTTACTCAAAAGCAACAATTATTTTGCATACATTAATGGCCCCCAGTAGCTCAGTGGTAAGCTTGATGGCTTATAATGCTAAAGCTTGGAATTCGATACTTCTGGATGTTCAAGCAAAACTACACAAAGGCTATTTGTGCTAGCCACCCATAATATTCAACTTATAGGCCAGAGGGGAAGGTATCTACTCAGAATCACTCAGTGCTATCTCTTGAGCTATTCAATTGGAAAGTGGAATTTGACCGTCACTCTTATCATGCACTCATTGTCACTGCTCCCAACAGCAGAACATAATTAAATGCAAACCATGAACCATCAGATTCACAATCTGGCATGCTTACTACTAGGCCACATTCAATAACATATTGCTATGACAGCGGAAGTCACGCCACGCTGGGAGCATACACGCTGGCGTTTCTAGAAGGATCATGACTTATCAAGGAACCTCGCGAATGTCTGAGTGTTTGCCAGGCGCTCTCTTTTTTAGTATATAAGCCTGGCAAATAAAGCCAGCAATAGATAGATATAGAGATAATTGAATCAAGCGAACAGTAGGCACAGTAAGTAAAGTGTGTGAATCACTGTGACTTATAGCGTGTGTTATAAAGGTTGTTAAGTTGATTAGGTTTTCTTGCCACTGCTGTAATCTTTTTTCTTGTTTATTTACTTTTTCCTCCAACCACTGCTGTAATTTCTCTTCTTGTTTCTTTTCTTTTTCCTTCAACAACTGCTGTAACCTCTCTTGTTTATTTTGTTGTTCGAGCTGCCACTGTTGCAGGTTTTCTTACCACTGTTGTTGTCTCTCTTCTTGTTTCTTTTCGTTTTCCTCCAACAACTGCTGTAATTTCTCTTCTTGTTTATTTTGTTGTTCAAGCTGCCACTGTTGCATGTTTTCTTGCAACTGCTGTTGTCTCTCTTCTTGTTTATTTTCTCGTTCTTCTTGTTTTTTTTTTGCTGCTCTTGTATTGCTGCCATCAAGTCTGCTAAGCTGTAGTTTGATTTTCCGCCTCTTGTTTCCATTTTTTTTATCCCACTCTCTGACACCAATTTGTTACGTCTCCGTTCGTTCGTTAATTTTCCGTAACTTCTTTCCGACTAAACTTTAGCGCCACAAGTCCTTTCTTAAATAAAACTGGTTTATTCTTCCCGAATACAACTTTACGATACACTTAATTTCAACAGTCGCTCTATAACAACATTATAACTCACGTCTCACGTGGCCAACAATATTTTGTCCGCATACATCCAATTACTCATTACCTCCCCGTCACTTCGTGGCCGGTCTTACATATACAAGACTACACTTTTTCTAGAAAGATCACGAGATTTAAGGAAAAGACGTGAAAGTTCGAGAATGACGTGGCGGGATACTAGTCACGTGACTTCGATGTCGTAACAGTTGGTATCCATTTGTACCATGATCCAACTAAGAAGTGATTACTTTTTGGAAGGTCAAATGTCAATGTCACAGCAATGTCATGAAATGGAAAAGTCCCTATCTGTTAACATGGGGACCAATTTTTCACACTATTTTTGCTCTATAACTCAGTCAAAAATGATCGGATCTTGGTGAAACTTGGTAGATATATCTAGAATATGATTTTCTATTGTCTCACCAGAAATTATCAGTATTCATCGATAACAACGCACATACGAACACATTTTCATATGTTTGAGAGCGGAATATGATCAACGCTGCATGGCTCTACTGAGTGCCTCTCTAGTTTTTTTATGGATTTGTTTACCATTCATTTATTTATTCCTTCTCTTATTTAGTTTAGCTATGAATTTTTAGGTACATTAAAGCTAACTCACCTTTTAGTTGATCACGTTGATTTTGAGTAGTGTGTATGTAATAAGAAACTGATACCTAGCGGTGACGGTCAGGTTAACGTTGAGAAATATTATGTAGGTTTATGGTGATGAATTAGCTAGTCACATGAGATGTAATCTTGTGGTCTAACGTCTAAATAACAGCCCTATCATGAGCTTCGACTGTTAGTTCACGAGATACAACTAAAGTGCTATTGCTGAGTTGTTGTTGCTCTTTTAGTTATTTAAATACGGAATATTGTCATTTTGGAGTTGCTTTTTCATTTATTTTTATTCTTGTTCTTTTCCGGTTTTTCCTAATTTCTTTGTTTATTAAAATAATTATTAACTTTGATATTTGTGTTGTATTGTTCATTAAAGTTAGTGTCAAGTTCTGGTCAGGCACGTATTTATTAATTGTGAGAAGCTGAGAAGCTTTATATTCTAACTACTTGAAATCTTTGTTTTTGGAATTCTGTGGTTATCAAAGTTTAATAAATTCATTATTTTTTTCTTCGACACTAGTTGTAGCAGTTTTTTTTTTTTGTTGTTGTTGTTTTTCAGATTGTCATAAGCTTGTCTACTATTGTGAAACGAAAGTATAGGTGGAACCAGGTTCGTTCAGTGTGCGTGTTTCTTTCTTTTCTTATACTTTATAGTAAAACCACATCGGGCTGTCTGCTGTGTTTATCGAGTGGAGTCGAACCCCTGATTTTAGCGTTGTAAATCAAAGAACTTACCGCTCTCCCACCGGAGTACAGGTTCGTTTACTTTCGATATATATTTTATGAAAGTTTTCGCTTTTCTCTTTATTCATAGAATTGGGCATTGGTGGCGCCCCGAAGCATGGGGTATGGCGTGTCTTAAGATTTATGCTATTTGTGATGTTTTTTACTTTTTTAAAAGTTTTCGTGTAACTTTAGGTGTGCTTGGTAAGAAATATTTTAATAATGCATTTACGCAGGCGAAGGAAGTAAATACTCATTTTAGCGGAAAACGCCTGAGCGCTTCAGAAGTTTAGTCGCCTAACTTGCAAAATACAAAGTGTAAATCAGTAAAATGGTAAACTTAGTTAAAATACCGTTAATCGGTTTAATTTGGGACAATGTACTTCATTTGAATTTGCTTGGATTATCACAATGTTTCTGTAAAATTAAATATAAGACTTAAGATTGTTAGTTTTGATTGAAATAAACTCAGTAAAAGTAAAACATAAAAGGACTATACAAATGATACAGTTTGCTTATCATAAACGATATCTATTACAGTAGTACTATTAGTATTTAATAATATAAGTTTATATCTGTATACCTCTTTTCAAAATATTTTATGTCTGGTAGCTATTTTCCATTTATTGCTGTTAAACATATGACTCGTGGTGTGACACATTCTCATTTGTCAATTTTGTACCTTTTTAAATTTAAACATTTTATTGTCCCTAGACACTCCAATGTTGGACAAAAAGAGACCATATAGAATTGTGTTTAGGGACTCTTAATAGAATTTTTAAAAATCATGGATACTCTGATGTTCTCGTGAGGTCCATTTGGACTACAACTTACAAGTACAATTGAAATATGCAGGAAATATACCAGTGCTATATCAAATTGACAAAAACATTTATAAGAGTAAAATTGTAGGGTTACTGGTACTACTAGTAGTCTGTAGTAGAACTCGGTTGTATCTGTCATTGCTAATGGAAAGTTCTGGCCTGTAAGTTTGTTATTGCTAATATATGTACCAAATTCTATACACCAAACAAATTCTATTCCTGTTCTTCCTAATTTCAAATACAATTAAATAAATGCACAGCTCTACTAACTTGGCCTCTCTGAAGGAAATGCAAGACGTTTTATTTCATGAAAATTGTGTTAGGCCCATGCTCTTCTTTTTATTTTAAAAACACTAAACATTTAGTCTCATTTACACAAGATCATGCATTTAATGTCAAAGAGATAGAATTTGTCACTGTACTGGATATAATATATATTTTACTGTTACTGATTAGAAAGTAACATGGGATTCATTTCATCTGATAAAAATGAGGGCTGCTAAAGTTAAAAAGGGAAACTTTGTATGGGTGCACACTAGTGTAACAAGTAAGAATTTATTTCAGTCCACTGCATACTTAAATATACTAGGTGTCCTACACCTACTAAGGCTGCCCTTGATCATTACATAATATAAACGTAGAGTACCAGAAATGAAAGCTACTAGATATGTTATTATATTTGACAGTTTAAGTCCTTCAGTTGTGAGATAATACTTGAAAATGTGGCCAATAAAGGTGGAAATAAACACAAGAAAAACAAGCCATTAGGTTCATCAGTGTTAGCTCCTATTTCCCCAAACAACACATATAACCCATCATTTGCATATTAAATAGATTTTTAATTAGTCCACACTACCTTATCTTGCTATCTGGTCATGTAAAGTGTAAGTTGTGTTTTCTCTTGCAGAAAGATATGTAGGAAAATGCATATTAAGCACAGCAAAATATAATATGCTTGCATTATGTAAATGTAGTTTGAATAAACGAAATCACACATATTTTGTGGCTAAAGTATCAGTAAGAGTGAGGATATTGAATTTCTGAATGAGAAAATTCTAATCTACATGTTTTTGTTTCCATTAGAATTATTTATGACATTACATACTTCTACTTAGTTCATCATATAAAATTAGTTACAATATTTTTAAGTTGTTTTTAAGTTCTGCTTTCATCAGAAGTTATTGACAATGCTAACAAGAGATTTAATAGTTTCACTAAACAAGTAATATCTTTGCATGTTGACAGTAATATGTGATCAAAATTCATACCATAAATGTATTTACTGTTGCTGTAAAAACTTCCTATAATATGATACATATTTAAATTACTTTTGTGATATGAGGTTTATTCATATCTTAAGAGGACCTATCCTTTGCTCAGATATTAAGAAACATTATGAAAGGTTGTATATTTATTTCTGTAGTGTTTTTGTTTGAAGTGAGGAACAATTTCTTGCATAACTGGTTCAAAAATTTCCTAACTTCTAATTGTTTCTTGTTTTATTTGTGCCACTGCACATCTCTTGCTTCAAAATTGGTCGTAGTCAAAGTTCACTGAATATACCAAGTGCAGCATATAGTGGATATGAACGTTTGGTACTTTAGATGCTTTACAGAACACAAAGTAAATGAACAGAGAGCATACATTGGAATTTCTTGTCTTATTCTAAACCTGTGCTGGGGCAGTAATTTTAGTATGTTGGCTCACCTGAATTATGTCTTTTGTTCTGAAATAGAGGACTGATATGAACTATTCACCTTTTAATGCATGAATGAATATTCAAAACTCAACAAAGTGGAAAGTATAGCTTTAATTAATTAATCCCAGTGATCTGTGTCAGCTTCATAATGTGACACTTGGTTCAGGTTTGACGAGTAACCAGTTAGAAAATTTATAAAACGTGACACTCTTAAAAGTAACACTATGCCTAATATAGTACCTCCCAGAACAGAAAGAATTGTGGGGCTTAAGGTAAAAAAAATTACCATTTATACAATATAATCTTATAACTGAACAGGTGACCAATGTTGACAGGTTGACTTATTCAAATAAAATTAAAAATACATCTTTTTAGAACAATGTTCACATTCAAACTTCCTTAGTTAAAATGATTCAACATAGCATTTAAACATGTCATGAAATATAGCACATCGTGACTATAACTGCTTGTTTCTTTGTAAGTCCTTTATAGAAATGTGAATCTGTAAGAAATATTAAGTGCTCACAAAAATATTCTCAATATGTGAGAAATTTCAGAAATACATTTCATTAGTAAAATTTCCATTTAATTTTTTATTTTATGGTTTTTATTAGTTACTGTTTGTGTACTAAACCAACATTATAAAAAATATCAATAGGCCAACCCATTAATATCATCAAGTTGTATAAATTATTAGTACATTTTAACTGTCCATCTTATTTCCCAGCTTTTAGAGATCTAAAACTATTATTTTTTTGAAAACTAAGGAAACCACAGAAATGTATCGGATGGGTCATGAGCTCAGAACTCTAAAATTAATCTTAAGCTTGTTTAACTTTGTGTGAAGTCATTGTTTAAAAACTTTTATAGCATTTTTCATAGGTATGGTTTCTCTTTTATTGTATCAATAAAACAATAAAGAAAGTTGATTATTTGTTCTTACAGCTTTAAGTACAGAATTATGTTCATGTATATTGCTAACCTATATTAATTAATGTTGTGTGTTTATGAATTTCTTTACTCATCTTCCACAGTAATGGAGTTAATAGGACCAAACTGAGCAGGTGCATTCAGGAAGGTCACCCAGGCTTGATGTAAGTAGGCTCGTAAGGTTGTTGGACTTGAATCATGCATCTGATTTTGTGTTGGTAGGACCTTGGGGCGACAATTTTGGAACTTGTTCATATCCCTACTTACAAGCTATCAGGATCCAATTATTCAGGTAACACAGGCAGGTGTCATTACAGGTTGTTGTTTTTCATGTATGAACTCCTCATGAGGTAGCTATAGAGGTAACTAGGGACAATGGAGGAGCTTGATCGGAACATTTGGGCTTTTGTGAGTCATTAGAGTGTTTTATGTTAGTATTAACAAATGAAGTAAGGGCTTGTTTATGTTTTTTGGGTAATGATTTTAATTAAATTCCACCAAAGTTATGCTATTATGTATTAAAGAAATATAAACATTAAGACCCCTTTAGTATATATTAACATTTTTGTTATCTTTTTATCATTTGCAAGAAATTCTGTAAATGCAATACATCAAGTCTTTAAAGTAGTCTAGATATACCTTTTTCACTAAATGAAACCAAGAAAACTCACAAGGAATTTGGTTTCTTTTATCCTGCAATATGTGAGTACTTTGTGTACTAATGTATGCATATTTCTAAGGGTATTTTTTTGCAGTGTTAAGTGTACTATAAAGAAGGGATCAAATTCTTATTCTGAACAAATTACTGAGTTGTCTTCAGAAAAACAATTGCATGTTAAAAGATATTTCCTGTAACTGTTTTTCAAATTCCTGTGCACATTATCTTTTTATAGAGTCACAATGCAAGACACTACCTTGGAATCTGATGCTGGGTCTCCACATATCAAGACTTTGATCTTTATGGACCTAGAAGCCACTGGAATACCAACAGAAACACCAAAGAAAAATGTTCAAATCACAGAAATTGCACTTGTTGCTATTAGTAGAGACCATTTTGATAGTCCGTCAGACAAATATAGAATACTAAATAAATTATCTCTCTGTGTCCAACCAAAGACTTGTGTTACTCCTTCAGCAGTGGCCATCTCAGGTGTGTCAGTATTTTAGATTTTCCTTCTTTCAGGTCAAGAATAGTTGTAATGGAGTTTTAAAAGGTAGTCGTGCCTTCTTGAAATCAGGAAATTTCTTTTAACAACTTCCTGGTCTGGAAATATTATGGAGTCTTTTGTAAAAATCTGAAAATCTAGATTAGCATTTGAAAAGATAGTTTCTTTCTTTTAATCTAGGAATCTGCAGTGTTGTGTTCCTTTGCATACCAAGATCATTTTGTCTTCTCGTTGGTTGCCTAGATATCATTTAGCATTGTGTACCCTTGCCAGATGGCATGATGTATGTCATCAACCTTGATTCAGCTTGATACAATCAAATAGCACTATAATACAACTGGAGCTGTTCCATAATTAAGATGTTTGTAAATTTTTGTGCATGTTCATAATTAGCCACCCTGACTAAAAAAGTGTTAACTTTGCACAAGTAGTTCTGTTATGATAGGCAAATTAAAATTAACTCTGTTGTCAACGTGTCTGGAGACAACTTGGGAAACTTAAATTATAGCCTAATATAGGGACTATCTCAAAATTTAATGTCATAAATCAAATAAATATACCCCAAAACAAAGTTGTTACAAGTTTTGCCTTACATGTCATTCATACTTCATCGTTGAATCAATAAAGTTTATGACTAAAGCTCTTGCACTTGATGAAGCAATAAATAGAACTTAGTGAGATATAATTAGATCAAAGTAAATGAATTGTCACCAAGGAACCAATATTGCAAAATAATTCATACTTTGTGCTTGAATTGGCAAGGAAGTACAGATCTAGACAATTCAAATACTTTAGCAAATCAATTAGTCATGACAAGTTTGAAAATGTTAAATCCATAAAAAATTTTTATCCTTTCCTCAGATTAACGGTTGCTGATGAACATGTGTTAATGTGCTTGATAATACCTATCAGAATCCCTATCAAAACATGGGAGGGTTAGAAAATCATTGACTGAAATATTGTGTTTTTATAGAAAAAAATAGTACTAAATCTACAATGGTAAATGTTTTGCAGCAAGTCATTTTTAAATTCTTTACAAATAACTTGGCTACATTACTGATGATGATTGAGCATTGATATTCATGCACAGCTGAATCCAGATTTTGTTATTCATATAGAAGGCTTATTAGTTTTGAGGAGCTAGGGATTCCTCTCTCTTAGTGTTCCAACATCGTGCACCTAAAGTTGAAGAAAATATTTTGAAATTTGTCAAATAATTCACAGTATGTCTTATTTAAAATTGTATAAGTTCAATTATTGTTAACAAAGGGCTCAGATAAAAGCTTTCTTAGCTAGAAACAAAGAAATCATTCAGTGACAGAAGAGAGAAAAAATCAGAAATAGTTCAAATAGTATATATTTTGCTCCAGCGATGAATATTTTGAAGCATTTTGGAAACTGTGAAAATTACTTAAATTAATGAAAATAATTGGGAAATAATCAGGGACTTTCTGGAATATTTTTTCGTTTAAAGTATGGGAAACCTGTCTTTTAGTGTTCTCTTACTGAGTATAAATTTTCTATTCAATACTAAAGAAAATACTGGAAGAAAAAGTTAAATACTTGTGGATGTAGAAGTAAAATGGAGAATGTAAAAAAGTAATTGTGATAAGATCAAAACAAAAATTACTTTAGTAAGTTCTCTTGGCTCATGTAACATGTGGTAGGTTGTAACATACATGAAAAATTTTGTGTTATACAAATAGGCATCATTTCTCTTGCTGTTAGACATGTCCATTAAAATGAAGTCTGAAGGTGTATAATGCTGGATAAAAAACTGGTTTTGATGCCCGTGGTGGGCACAGCACATATAGCTCATTGTGTGTAGCTTTGTGCTTAACTACAAACAAAAAATAGATAGTTTCATTATCACATTGTCTTTGTAATAACTGTTCACCAATAAGCATGTCTTTTATGCATATTTCTAGAATACATCTTACAGTATAGTATCTGGTACATGCGAGTGAGCAATAATTTTTTTCAATTCTGCTTTAACAAAACTGCTTTAATCAAGTAAATGCACTAGTAAAAAGGACATGTACCAGAAGCAGCTAACAATTTTGTTAGAGATTCTAAAAACACAGCAATAGCAGAATATCTTTAATTACCAACGTGTTGGAATTGTTTTCTAATTCCATCATGGTCTTTAAAAACTAAAAATAATAATTCTCTAAGTATAAAAACATCATAAGCTTTCTAACAAGAAGTTGTCGATACAAATGGAAGTTTAGAAAGAACATATTAAAATGATTACTATAAATATATATATATATATATATGTGTTTATCAGGATTTGTAGTGCATACTGGAGGGGGTTTAGACATTTTGGCAATAAAGTTAGAAAAAACTTTACTCTCCAGATATTAATAATATTTTATTTTAACCAGTGTTTTTCAAATGCAGCTTCATAAGGACTAGTAGACAATATTTGTATGTGTCAATCTTTTTTAGTGATATTTCTTTCTAATGATTTTCTTCTCTCCTAGGTCTTTGTAATGTGTATTTATCTACTGAATGCTATTTTGAAAAGGGTCCAGCTCAGCAAGTAAAATCCTTCCTTGAATTTCTCCCTCAGCCTATATGTCTGGTGGCCCATAATGGCCACAACTTCGATTTCCCTCTTCTAAAGGCTGAGTTGAGGAAGGCAGGAGTATCACTTCCAGAGTTCATCTTTTGTGTTGACACATTGACAGCATTTAAAAGTGACATCCATATGAAATCTTCTTGGAACAGTTCAGTCAAGCCTGAAACAAACACTGATTCAATGTCTATCAATAATCAGAATCCTTGCAGCTCATATCAGACAAGTCTAGAAGCTCTTACTTTATCTCCTGTAGGCTTTAGTAATAAAAGTATATTATCTAAACTGGGACAGACAGAAAAAACTGTTTCACTTACCAGGCCAAACAGTATGCAAAACTTTCATGATAATAATGTTGAAAATTTGCTGAATGAAGAAACAGAAGTACTCTTAACAGCTATCGAACAAGAATCAGTTTTTTTTCCAGAGATTAAAGCACATAAATCAAACGGGCTGTCAGATGATACTCATTATATTTTATGTCCAGGAATTGAAGGAACTTCACAGAGAATTCATAGAGATTTTCTGACTCCTAAAAAGATGAATACCTCCCAGAAAAATTACTCTAATGTTCAGAAAGGAGTAAAAAGAAAAAGAACCCTCATCCATAAGGAGAAACATGCAGTTCCAGCTAGAAAAAGATTATATTCTAATGACAATATAAATTTTGTTTCTACAAAAATGTCTCAAGTTATTTCAAATGTTTATGGAAAACATGACATTCAAGTTTCAAATAAAATCTCAAAAATGCAACTCAGTTTGTCTAAGTTGCATGAGTATTTTTTTGGAGCTGTTCCCTCAGTGAGTCATGCAGCAGAAGCTGATTGTCACACACTAATGAAAATATGTCATAAATTACAGAAAAATTTCTTGTGCTGGATGGATAAAAATGCTGTCTGTTTTGAAAAGGTTTCACCAATGTGGTAACAAGTTACAACTTAGTTTTCTTAATTTGCTTGAATAATTTTTACAAAGCATTTCACCTAAAAACAACATGAGGCAGAGACTTAACTAAATGAAGATATCCGATAAACAATAAAAAAAGATTTCTTCTACATGGATGAAAATGTAATGTACTTCAAGTGTTTTTCACTGTTGTGGTAATAGAAAGGAGCTAATTAGAGAATTTTGATAATTTGTTTATATTATAATTTTACTTTTATACACATTCTCTTGTAATTTTTTGATAAATGTATTTCTTTTTAAATCAGTTGTTTAGCTAAGGTATGTATGTACATATATAAGGGTTGGTGGATAGAGAGAAATGTAGTTAATTTAGAAAGCTTTTGATTATTTATTTAAGATTTCAGCTTCAATACCTAGTGTATAAATAAAAACACAATCTAGGCTTTCTTACAAAACTTTTGTTATAATCAAATTTCTTCAAAGTTATCAACTTCTGTCGAAGGAAAAACTTTATTTTTAATTTTTTTATACATTTACAAATAATTGTAAAAAATGTTTTTTTTCAATGGTTGATTTTATTACTTTACTGATCTTGCTGAAACTTGTAAATTTTATCTTTAATAGTGAGTGTAAAATTTTGTGGTTAAGGAAGATTAGGCAATAGTAGAACCTTTTTTAATGAACTTGTTAGTACTTACATTAAAAGAAAATTGCACAAGTGATAGATCTACTATAGAGATGTTTTATGCATGTTCAAGATTCTGAATTTCTTACCAAGGCCAGGACTAGCATTAGCATACTAATCATGGTCAAAGTTGGTTTTTAACAACTTACATTTACTGTTTTAACAGTTTTTAAAATATTTGTACATAGGAAATGTATGACACATGTGTAACGTTACTGCAAAAATTTGCCTGTTTTGAACTTGAATTGTTTAAGGTAAAGTTTTAAGTAAACATGCTAATCAGAATTATTTGCTAAAAGATCATACTTCATTTTGTTAGTACATATATGTAGTGCTTTATATATAAATATATAATTATTGTTCCATGTTATTAAATTGTGTGCTACATTGATAATTGTGTATATAGTGACATTAAAGACTTTATACATATAATGTGCAGCTCACTTTCTTTAATTAGTTGTTATTGGGTTTTGTGGGAAAGTAACTTTTACAATTGGATGTACAAAGTTAAAAATACTATGCATGCCATGTAAAATAAGAAACCTTAAAGTACATAATGAAAAATCTTGTTACAACTACACGGCCTTTGGCATGTTTGTTTCTTCATACTTGGTAAATTAAGTCTGGATATAGTGAAGCTACAATCTCAACTTTTGCCCCTTGGTATTATTCATAAAAAAGGAGTCAAAACACGTGGAATAGTCTTGAAGACAATACAAAGGAAAGTATTGAAGTCTATACCAGACTTTCTTCTTTCACAAGTTTCAGTATCACATATAAGTAAGGAATAGGATAACAGAAACAATCTTGGCTGGTTTCATCGGTGAGTTGAGCAGAGTTCCAGACATTTGGATGTAAAGTATTTTAATAAATCATTTACATATCTAAGACAATTGGCAGACTTTTCCACCCTTATTATCATTTGGCAAACCATAAAATTTGAAGTATGGCTTGTTTTCCTAGAGTTACTTAGGTTGTTTTCTTTCATTTACTTCAGAGGAAAACAGAAACTTGATGAACATCTTCTCAACTAGGTATAAATGTTTTATAAAACAAAGATAATTTAGAGTGAAACTTGATTGAGCAATAACTAGTTTAATAATATTTGGAATAAACAAAGAACATTATTAGCAGAATTGCTATCTAAACTGAGCTAAAGGGTCTATTTTGGAATGATTGGATTTTTCTTGATTCTCCCATATATTTTGACATGCTAAATAGCATTTATTAATATTATCAATATTGTGTATATATTTTTCCAAGTACATAAATGATAAGGCAGAAACAAAATAGTGTAAATGGAAAATACTATGCATTTTATATGTCAGAACTTAATAGTAAGAACTACATCCGAGATTATCCAAGTTACACAGAATTGCCTTTAAATAAGGTTAGGTTTGCAAGTTGTTTCATGAATATTAAATCTTGTAATCATGCAGTTAAATGATGAAATATACAAATACTGTAACAAGCTCAAATACTTTTGTTGAAACTGTTAAGTTTTCACCAAGTAAGGAAATAAAAAGTACAGAAAATATCTATTGATCAACTGAGTAATTTACATTCACACTCTTCGCTGAAACGTCTTTTGTTGGTATTCGTCATTTCTAAACATTATAACCAAACTGAAAATACTTTTTATTTTATCAATTAATAAAAGATGGTTTGTGGTTACATGCTTGCATAATCAGTGTATGTTCTGGTAAAACATTCTTGTAACTTGATAGCAAATAATGTATTCAATTGATATGGACAGTTGATTACTGAAGTAAGCAATACTACTAACAATTTATAACTGACAAGTAATGATATTGTGAATTATATATAATCTCCATGATTGCAATCTTTCCATACCAGTTTAAATAATATATATATATATATATCACATTACCATTATTGTTCTAGGTCGTCAACTTCTTGTCACGGTGGATAATGTACGTGGTAATAGCACCCAAATGCATTGGAGATATCCCATCTATCAGAAAAAATCCAAACGCTGATGTTAATCATCATGGAAAATCACATAAGGGTACAAAGCTGAATGTTACACACACAACATCTCAGCTTCTACTGTCTATAGCCAGTTGTGGGAAGGCAGATACCCTTTTATTTCTTGAAGTAGAAATGAAACCACCCTAACATTTCTACTAATTAAACTCCCAACCTCCACCCTTACAAAAAGATAATAAATAGAACTTTAAA